AGCTAATATATATATATATATATATATATATATATATATTTTTTAATTTGATTAATTAATTCTTGTTTTATCAATCTTTTAACCCTGTTTTGTTGATTACAGAAGCAAAAACAAGCTTTAGCAAAGCAATTGAATTTAAGGCCAAGGCAAGTTGAAGTTTGGTTCCAGAACAGGAGAGCCAGGTGAATTTCCAATTTCTAAAATCTATTTTCTTAATACTATATATAAATATTCGAGCCCTTAATCCGATTAATTTTATGGTACTGGTGTTTTACGAATCTAATTTGAGGTATATTTTTATTTTCGTTGACAGGACGAAGCTGAAGCAAACAGAGGTGGACTGTGAGCTCTTGAAGAAATGCTGCGAGACTCTGACAGACGAGAACAGGAGGCTTCAAAAGGAAGTACAAGAACTGAAAGCACTTAAACTGGCTCAGCCGTTCTACATGCACATGCCGGCGGCGACGCTCACCATGTGCCCGTCGTGTGAAAGAATTGGCGGTGTCGGCGACGGTAACACCAAGAGCCCATTTTCAATGGCTCCCAAGTCCCATTTCTACAATCCCTTCACCAATCCTTCAGCAGCTTGTTGATTATGATTATAAGGTCTTAAGATAGGATTAGCCAAAGAGAAAAAAAGAAAACAGATCCCCCCTCCACAACCCTGTAATTTTTTTTGTTAAGGGCGTGCAGTCAATTAATTAGTAGAATTATTTAATTTTGTAGAAACAAAAAATTAGTGGTTATTCTCATCATCTTTTTCAATATATGTTTGTAAATCAGTAGACAGATTTATATATAATATAAAATTATCAATGAAGGGATTACTGTTATTTACTTTTGATTAAATCTTTTTGGTGGATTTTTTCCTGTCTCATTGAATGGCACACTTGCTTTCTTTCTTATTTCTTTTTCTGGTAAAGCACTGGTGAGTTGTTACCCATCCTAAATTGATTTTGTAACTTTCATTTTACTTTAGTAAATTTTTTGTATTAGGGGACAAGAAACAACTCTTTTTCATTGTTTTACTCTTTATACTTCAAACTTTATAAAATTAAACATCTTGTTTTGCAAGAAAGGGAATTAACAGTAAGTAGAAGACTAACTCCTTAGCGTGGTTGATACCATCATAAGTTTGATTCTCTTGTTTGAATATATCATATTATTGTTTGACTCTTTAGAAATTGTACTAATAATTATTCAATTACCTTAAAATCGTTCCAGGAAAAATGAGGAAAAAAGTGAATTTTTCCTTCCGAAATAAAGAAAAGTAGAGTTATTGTTGACTTTCCAAATGCAAAAATCATTTCCCTTTGATATTTTCCTTCAAAGAATCATCAATGATACTTTTCTTCTTAAACTTTACAAGAAAATCAATAATTTAAGATTAATATGTATTAATTTGGTTAAATTCTTGTTACTGATATACAAGATTACCATATTCGAAGCTCAAACAAGTATATCTCAACCGTATTGCAACACAAATTGGCATTATGTACCCATTAAGGCATATTATATGTGTTGCAAATGAGTCATGCCACTTTCATGGCTCTCAAGGTGTTCTCCCATTTTGGGCGTCTCATGAGGAGATATAATGATAAAATGAGTTGGAGGTTATGATTAAGTGAGAGAGAAAAAGGGTGTGTAGGGGGGGAAAAGAAAGGAGAGGTTAGCTCACGTGTATTTGTCTCTAATTTCAGTTGATTATACATGATGGGGAAAAAAAGAGAGAGAGAAAAAGAAAGATATGCAGTGAGTCAAGCAAAAATGAGTGGTGAGAGGCGTGTAGGCTAAGAAAGGAATGGATGATTCACTTGACAATTTTTTTTTCTTAAAAAAAAAAAGGAAAAAAAAAAACATTAAAAAGGAAAAATATTTGGTCTAGTTAGATGCTCTCTCTTTAAGGGTACTAGTGGGTCACACCCCACGTGATGTCCCAATGGCCCCCTTTTTCTCACTATCTCATCATGGGATTCAGATTTTTCCATCTGGGTCAGATACACGCATACACACATTCTGTAGTTCATTACACGGGGGCCATTTCCTCTCCCAATTACTTACTGTATGATCTAGTGGTGGATGGACGGTATTTCCTTTCGAAAATGTATTTTGTAGTTTTTCATGTATTGAATTCT